AGGCAGCTGGGAGAGCTTCCCTTCAGTGGCTGTTTCTATTGGCCAGCCCCAGGCCTTAAAGAAGCCAGTCAGGTCCATCCCCACAGTCTGGGAGAAAGTCTCAGCATACAGGTTCATCTTTCCTTTGTTGTCACCGGGGAAGTCCTTTATGTGGTGATACGCAGCAAACACCTTCTTAAAGGCATCCCAGCCAAACCTTTCCTGGAGCTGCAGATGAGGAGACAAGAGTCATAATGCTGGTAGTCGTGTTATGTGCACTCCAGTGTGGACAAAGGACTGACTGTTAAGATACTGTTTATAATTATGTCTCCACACTTTCTTAAAAGTGACTTAATGGAAAACATTTCTTGAACTCTCCTTGTTTCACACTCTGCTTTCAGTTTTATATGCAATCTTTTTTTTTTCCTATGGAAGCAGGTCACTCCAGTGTGGACAAAGGACAGTTTCTCTACAGAGCAGAATTCTCTCACCTGCATATATGTTTCCAGAGCCACCCACATGCTCCAGCTCTCAGGTGTCCTGTCTCCCGCGACATAGTCATTTATTCGACTTTGTCGGTTTGCTGAAGTCATGGCTCCATGAGTCTGCATTAAACAACATGGGATGAGATGATCGTAAAATATTGTACTCTAAAACATAGTTAAGTGGTTTGTCATCATATAACATCAAAGAAGTTATCATAAAAAGCGTAACAATATAAGATGTTTCTGGCCATTTGTCTTTGTCATTTACTCCACCTTCTCCCTGTCGACGCCCAGCACCTCTTCATTCACATACACTGACCACAGGTTGCATGTACACTCTGTGGTGTTTGGTGGGAACTCCCAGCAAGCTCTCTGTTGATTGTGTCCCAGTTCATGGATGGGGCCCCACATCGGATTACCTTTTTTGACGCCGACCAGTTCATGAGCTGTCATTTTGTGTGCCATGATTGGATAACCTGCATGCATCCAGCCTGAACAGAAAAAGAGCAATAAACAGTGGTATAGTGATAATTCTTTCAGATTTTACAGCATTGATAGACAAAAAAAAAAAGGAAAAAAAAGAAAAAAAAAGAGAGAGAATGCCATTGTATCTATCTGAGCAAAGAACCAAACAAAATCATCATTACTCTATAGTTTGGAAGGAAAGGAAGTACACCAAATGGGCTGCAAGATGTCTGACATGAGGGGTTGAAGCAGAGGGAGCAGACTTGGGATGGCAGGTATTCAACTTGAGCTTTCAGGAGAGTCCACACTGATTTCTTGGTTGGTTACTCTGTTTTCTTCTTCTGAGTCTGGCTTCCTGTTCCCAGTGACTCCATCCCAAGCAAATAAGAATGAATTACTCACCTAAACCACTTAATTCCTTCCGAGGAGTGTTAGATGTGTTAGGAGCTAACACTCCTGAGTGTTAGGAGTGCCAGCTGGTCCAAAGACTGGTCCACATGTAACCAGTCAGTCACCCAGCGTTTTTTTGGTCAGGCCTTATGTTCTTGGGAGTCTCTAAGAACAAGCAAATAAGTGCAATGTGTGTACTGTACAACATGAGGCACAATGCACTTACCGTGAGAAATCTGCACATCTGCCACAAAGCGCTCCTTGCGGGGAAATTTGTGTGGTTTGGCAGCCAGATCTGCAATGGCCCTCAT